AAAGTTCTTTCTTTTGGTATATGAATGTCCATTTATTTTAGGACTATTTATTGAAAATATTATACTTTCTCCACTACATAGCCTTTGAAACTTTGTCAAAATCAATTATCAAAGAGAATAAAAAGACAAATTACCAACTGAGAGAAAATAGTTGGCAGTCATATATTTGACAAGAAACGTGCACTGGAATGAAAGAGGAACTCTCAAAATCCCATAGTAAGAAAACAATACAATTAACACAAGGTGAGAAAACTAGCAAAGAGGATATTCAGAAGGAAAATAAACAGACAAAAAGATAGTCAACATCATTGGCCGTTGGAGAATGCAAATTAAAATCATGATAAGTTACCACTGCACACATGTTAAAATGACTAAAATAAAAATTACTGACAGTATAAAATGCTGGTGAGGATGTGGCATAGCCCATACATTGCTGGTGGGAATGCATTAAAGATCAGAATGTGGAGACCATGATAATATTCCTGGCTTAATTTCTTATGACAGCAACAATATATAGTTTTTCAAAACAATATTAACTTTATAGCATGCATTTGTCTTATTTTCAATATTAAAGAGACAACCTGTGTTAAATACAAAGATGCAGCTCATATCAAAATAAAAAATCAAGGCGACATTTTAGATATGACATAAAACATAATAACATAAGGAGAGGTATTTAGAAAAAATTAAGATTGATGATTTTTTCCTTGCACCTTCCTTACTGGAATTATTTGAGGATAAATAGTTCTTTAGAACTAGCAGGACAAACAAGATCCTTCTCACTGCCAAATCAATGTTCATGTTCAAAAGGACTTCAGCTTTTGCCTAAGCCATTTCCTCATTTTTGATGACAGCAAATGAGTGGTTCATTTTCTTTTTCACAGCGTTATGCCCTTAACTAATTATAGTAAAACTGGTGCACTGGTTTGGTGAGAATATTTTCAACATTCCATGCTGCACATTTCCATTGTTCACAACCAGACCACTTTAAGTTCTGAGCCTAAAGACAGCTTTCAAAACATAAAGGCTAAATAACGTGAAAATAGAATGATGTGAGATCTTAATATCAATTGCAAGTGGTCTGTCTTGAGTTGTTTATAAATCTAACTGCCCTTTCCAGTGCCTGCTCAGGCTGTGTAATGAGAAATTTAGGACAAAGGCTCAGAACAATTTACTTAAGCCTCACAGGTCAAAGGTCAACTCATGATTTAAAACTTTTACTTGAGACTTCCTAGAATTAAGTAATGCTCTCCACAGATCAAAAGAGTGACTGGTGTGCTGTTCACTTGCTGGTATACATTGCCTAATGTATGGATAAAAAGGCATAGAAAGCATAAGATAATCATGATAAATGTTTGACACTGTCAGCATAAATAATTAACAATCATTTCTCCTGACTGTATTTGGTGCTATTGCTGTTAAGCAAAATACTTTCCCAACCCAAAGCTCTGCTACTTAAAATTCAGTCCTAAAAATCTTTTCCCGGGATTGATTTCTATTTCTACCAACATCTCTGTGTCAGCACCCAACCAAGATTTTAGTTTATTGTCAGCACAGATAGATACGGCTCATACATATGAGTAGACCATATTTATTGAATTATTTCCTATCATAGCCTCATTGAAATGCAAAATGCTTGCTGCTTAGAAAACCAGAAAGCAATTATTCCAATCTGGAGTTTGCAGGCAGAATGTCAAATGAAATTTCAAGGTCCTAATGTATAAAATTGATAGCTGAGAAGGATGAGTTTATCAAGGACATTTTGGCTTATTAATTACACAAACAATGCATGCTCATGACAGAAATATTCATATCTTGTTAGGCATAAGTAATTCCTATTGATTTTGTCAACTGTAGCTTATGCATAGTAACCCCTAATTCCCGACTCAGAGTCCAAAGTAGGAAATAAGATGCAGCAAAAAAACTTTAGATTTAAGAGTTTGAGTGAGAGGTGCTTATGGGACTTTCAAGTGGGTAATTCCCAGGAGGCCCTGAACCTGTGGATGTGGTGGTATAGAGGAGAAACCTGGAGTAAAGAGGCAGACTTGTGTCAACAGCTACATCAATGGGAAGAGAAAACCCACTGTGTGGAAGAGTATGTACATATGAGGAAAGAATTCTTTTGGGATGGGTAGAAGAAAGTCCAAGAACAGAAGGAAAAGCACAGGTAAGAACAGAGCATGGCAACAAAGAAGCCAAGAGAGAAGAGAGTTCAAGGAGAAGAGATTTGCCCACAGTGTCATTAGACGATGCTGAGGCATCAGGTAGGATAAGTATCCCAAAGTCTCCAATTCTTTTAGACATTAAGAGATCATGGTTGACATGGACTGGTAGGTTTCAGCAGCATGGTGTGACTGGTCAGGGACCAGCCAGAGGCAGAGAAAGAAACGACCTAGGTGCAGGGGGCAAAATGCAAGGAGGAGGATTTGAAACAATAGGGAACCCTAATCTTATTCCCTTAGAGGTAGTCAAAGGTAAGGAAGCAATGATATTCAGAGTTCTTACCCCATGATCTAACAATAATACATCTGTCCGGGTAAGCTATTCAGGTTTTCCTTGATGAAGCTTCTAAAAATAATGCAGAAGCCAGCCTAAAGGAAGGCATAAAAAACCAATACACAATTCCTTGCTAAGAAGTGGTAGGACCTTGCTGGGGAAGGGGAAATTCTGGCAGAAGCCTAATTTGGGAAGGCCAAGGGACAGCTTGGAAACATTCGGCTGGGGTCCCCTTTGTTGCTGTAGACCAGGTGTGGTGACTGTGGAAATAAATAGAAACCACTAAATAAAATTCATGGACATCAGAGCTTCTCCTGACAGAACGCATTATTTCTTCCCCAATTTTCACCAGTACACCAAGAAAAAAATACTCTCATCTATTCTTATATTTCCTTTTATTTTGAGACTGTTTTCAATTGGACTTACATTCAAGATACTATCTTTCCCAAAGGTCCTAAAAAGACATTTAAAATTAACTTTAAAGAAGATACCCACTTAAAAAATATTTATGACTCAGGCAGTTGGTGCACCTGTAATATGCCACGTTATTTGATAACTAGAGGCCCAGTACACAGGATTCATGCACAGGTGGGGGGGCGGGGGAGGGCGCATGGCCTGCAGGGATCAGCCTGCTGTGGGACCACCACTCATCCCAGTCAGCCCAGCGGCGCTCCCACTGTGGGAGCGCATTGACCACTAGGGGGCCGCTCCAGTGTTGAGCGTCTGCCCCCTGGTGGTCAGTATGCATCATAGCTACAGATCGACTGGTCATACCTAGTTCCACTGTTCAGTCACTGGGCTTTTATTATATAGGATATTTATGTTATAAATAAAAAATACCGAAAAAATAATTTTGCCTTTGAATAGTTTTAATAGAAATATAGTATTGAAAGGACTATAATTTTATAGCATTTTATCTTATATATCCTCAGTTTCTTGAATTACTGGTGGATGTCTTCTAAATAAGTTATTTTTCCAGTTTCCCAGCCTTATTTTCAAATGCCCAAATTTATAGTGTGAAAACTGAGAAAGACTCCTAGTAAGCAGGCCTCCTGCTAATAATGGCTTTGGGAATGAGAAAAGAGAGGTGATGGTTGCACAACACTGTGAATGCACTAAGTTCCACTGAATGGAACACTTTAAAGTGGTTAATTATTTCTTAACTAGAGGCCCAGTGCACGAAATTCATGCACTCGGCAGGGGGAGGGGTCCCTCAGCCCAGCCTGTGCCCTCTCACAGTCCAGGAGCCCTCAGGGAGTGGGCCTAAGCTGTCAGTCGGACATCCTTAGCTCTGCCGAGGAGACAGGAGAGGCTCCCACCATCACCGCTGTACTCACCAGCTGTGAGCCCAGCTTCTGGCTTCTGGCTGAGTGGTGCTCCCCCCTTGTGGGAGCGCACTGACCACCAGAGGGCAACTCCTGCATTGAGCGTCTGCCCCCTGGTGGTCAGTGCTCATCATAGCGACCGGTTGTTCTGCCATTCAGTCAATTTGCATATTAGCCTTTTATTATATAGGATTTTACCTCAGTGAAGATAAACACTATCAAGTTACATTTTCTGTGTTTTTACTTTAAACATCACATGTGTTGATAAATAATGTTGATCCCTTTGTATGACAGCTAAAAGGATTATTTTAATATCACAGTTAATTATTATTCATAAAAGCAAAAAAGTAGGGAATAAGCTTTGTGGAAATGCCTTTGCATCTATGCTCTCTGCTCAGAATATTTCCCAAAGTCTGTCTGTCTACACAGTCCAACGCATTGGATGTTTCCTGACAGAAGCCTTCCCCATTGCCTAAAAATACGTTTCCTCTTTTTTGTACTTCTGTCTAGCCTTAGTTTCTGCCTAGTCCTCCCTGTTAAACTGAAAGCTCTTTGAGGACAAGCTCATGCTGTTTTCCTCTTTGTATTTATCTATCATATAGTACATGGCCAGTCAATGCTGCTTACATTAAAACACATTGATTTGTAGTTATTAAAATGGAATTTCCTTTCTCAACTGGGCTTTGCAAACCATTGTTTTATTATAATTTTTCTCAAATGTTCCATTCATTTGGAAGAAAGAAAGTGGACATAGAAACTTAAAATTGGACCTGGCTAGTTGGAAAGACAATTTCTTATTTGTCCATTGTCTTTCTTTAAGAAGCAGTATTTCTTACTGCTTTACCATGAAATTAGCTGCTAACCACTTGTTTCTTATGTTTTGTTTCTTTTTATTTTAAAGAAAAATATTTTCTTGATTTCTCTCGAATGCCTTCTTGGTCTATTCATCATAAGCAAAGCAGTTCAGTTTTCCAACAAATACCTTTGATTGTGCAGGATCCTGTTGATGACAGTTACTGTTCTTGAAAGAATTAGATATGGTCAATATAGGTCAACGATAAAGACATGAACTCATTTAAGGACAACAGTGGAACAATTATTCAATGCAAAGGTATAGGCAATAAAATACATTGGTCATAACACAGTTACTTATAAAATAGTTATTTATAAAATATTTAAAACTATTTATAAAATAGTTTATGCTGTATATCAATTTTTTTTTCCATGAAACAATACTTCATGCAGAATAAATCAGGATGTGGTGCCAAAATTTGAGCCTGGAGAAATGGCTGAGTTTAAAGATCTGGGGACAAAGCTATGTGAAATGAGACATCTGGATATATAGGCAAAGACTAAGGCGGTTGATGTCAGGGGAGCCAAGAAAGGAGATTTTTATTTGGAAAATGAACAAAGAAAATCTGCATCTCCAGAAAAAGATTAGAAAGCTCTGAGGAAGTAAAGAATCATAAAATGCATGAAATGGAATTGCCAATTTAGTCACATCCTCACTCAGGTTTGCAAAGAAAATATAGCCTCGTCACTTCTCTTTAACAACAGATCATCTTGATGATATAAACCTAAAACCTAGGAGATAAAAGAACAAAAGTCTAAAATTTGATCTCATACCAAAAAAAAAAAAAAAAAAGCTAAATCCACTAACATATTAATCTTTGGTAAAAATGAGCGGGATCTTAGAGGCTCTCTTATTCATCCTTTTCAGAAATGGTTTTTGCCGTTTTGAGGCACGTGATTGATTTGGCCTCCTTAGAGGCTGTGGGCAGAGTCGCCTCTGAAATCTCTCAGAACTCTGTGGAGAGTGCTGGCCTGGGCTGCCTCCTGGGCCAATGCAGGGACACCCAGAGCATCTGAGCAGTGCAGGCATCTGCTGGGGGGACTCGGGGCCTGAACACGCTGGACTTGGTCAGGGCACTCATCTTCCT